CCTTCATTTTCAGAGGACCAATGACATCACAAGGTGACATCTTGACTTGTCTGTGAATTGGGTTTAAGTGAGGCAGAGCGGCACAAAGTCAGCAGCTTGATTCTCTCTCTCCCAGAGTCATCGAAGTCCAGTGGCAGGACAAAAGTCAGATGACTGGTGATGGTCGGGATGCAGCGGATAACTTTGTGTCTTCAATGCCTGACCGAGCTTTAAGAGTTCCACAGCATCTGCTTCAGCCACCTTCATGGCCATTGGAACAAATTGCTCTCATCTGCCCATTCCACAGTGGAAAGGGGGAGCAGGGTGGGGGAGTCTTCACATACTTGGGGTAGACCCCCCCCAACTCACTGAGAGGTTTGAGGCTGCCGGTTACTTTCACCTGGTGTAGCTCGTCTGCCAAGCCTGTTTACTGGGGTGTGACCACAGCACATACTCCAGCTCCTTGGAGCCACAGGTGAGAGCTGAGTGCCAGGTGGACACCAAAGGCGATGAGCAGCTCTGAAAGAGTTCCCCACGCCCTCACACCAGAGGTGCTAGTCCTTCTTGAACATCCCATAATTATAAAACTAAAGGAGGAGATGCAAAATGGTCTCTTGAGAGGAATCACTTTGGGAACCTCTGGGCTGGAGAAATAAGTAAGATGCGCTGGTGGAAGTCCTGGTGCTGACCAGGAGTCAGTGACTCCAGTAGGACCAAGAGGCATGTAAACCATAACCACCCTTTGTTGGCTTTGGAGACTCATGTGGGCTGAGGGCTAGAGGTCACTCACTGTAAGGAAAGGAAGTTGTTGCACTGTGAGTGAGTGCAGACAGAGGACTTTCCGTTCATCTTGGGAGATCGCCACCATTTGGGCCGCCCAGCCCCTTCTGGGATGGCTGACAATCACATTGTCTTTAGGGCATCTGTGAACATTCACTTAGAAACTGATTTTAGGAAAATTTTGGCAAAGTCAGTAAATCCCCAGAAGACTTAGCCCCAATTCGCCCCATTGTGAGGGATTCTCCATCCCTACCCCAAGTAACTTTGTATATATTTTGTTATTTACTCATCTGTGTATGTGTTGTTTCCTAGAAAAATTTAAATTCCTAAAAGGGATCAATTTGTCTTTGTGTGCCTGGTGCCCATCATGGAGCCTGGCACACAGTAGGTTCTCATTAAAGGCTTATTGAATCCCATGCAGGCCACAGTGAGAGAAGGTTCCATTGTTCATTTGAGGGCAGCTTTCTTGACCCAACGAGGTTTCCCTCTGCCTTCGGACCCTCTTGGACACCTGACTGTGCTGGGACCATGAAAGTGACCCTGGGAGGTCCCTCTCTTGCCCCTCTCCTTCCCTCCCTCCCTCCACCTGGTTGTCATCAGGCCAGGGCTTTCTACTGCCCCAAGCACGAGGCAAGAGTGGCACCAGGTGCCAAGACAGGAGCTCGCCTTGCTGTCAGGTGCCCGTGCCACCTTTCTCCAGCTTATAAATGGGAGAAAAGGGATGATTAGGTTAGATCTGGTCCAGTAGAATGGCCTCAAAGGAAGGGTGATAACTAGCAGTGGCTGATCTGAGATCTGTTTTCCTTCTGTCCCAACCTGGGCAGGGGGGTGGGCCCCCCTTGGAAGTGGGAAGAATCTTCATGGCAATTTAGATAGAGTTTGAAGAGGCCCTGAAGGTCATCTATTCCAACCGTTTCATTTGACAGATAAGGAAACTGAGACCCAGGTCATAGATGACCACGTGCCAGGACTGGAAAGCAAACCTTGATGCAATGTTGTCCATTGCATTCTTTCCCCCTGCCCTATGGGGCATGGGAAACAAGCATTTCACATCAGAGTTGGGCAAGTCCATTGGTCAGGGCATCGAGGTCGACCCAAGACTGCAGGCTCTTTGGCTTTGTGGGAAGAAACCTGCATTTCCTGGGCCTAGGCAGCCCCACTAGCCCTGACCGTTGGTCCAAAGGCAGAATGTCAGGGGCTCTCGTAGAACACTCACCACTACTTGGGGCACAAGCACAGCCCAGCTTGCCAGGGGCAGGTCAGTGGCAAGGCAATGGTCCATTTTCATTTATCCAGATGATAAGACACTGACCAGTTCTCTGGGGCCTCCAGGCTGCTCCTGGCTCACAGCAGGGGGTCAGGGATCCTCATGGCCATTGAGCCCTCATGACAATAGGGGAGATTCGTCCCATCCCTGGTGGGGAGCCTTGTGCACGCCTTGATCCGGTGACCCCGGCCACTTTGGCCGTGCCCTCCTCAGCTCTGGGCATTCTCCCCCCTCCCCCAATGTCCCCCAAGCCTGGAACACTTGGTCTCCCTCCTCTCCCCCCTCCTGCTTCTCTGGCTTCCTTCAAGTCCCTTCTAAGGGAGCCTTCACCAGACTGCCGTGATGTGCGGGCCTTCTGCTTTCTCTCTGCTGATTCTCTCCATTTTATCCTGTCTATAGCTTCCATGGACAGAGCTGTTTGCCTCCGTCTCCCCCATTCACTGTATCACTGATCCTGTGTCCTTTGGGCTTATACATCTCTTAGATGATTTTCCATGGACTCCTTCTCCTTTATGATTCCATGTATGGAACGTGTCAGACCCTGCTGTCTCCTACTGTGTCCTTGGCCCCTAATGCTTTGGCTGACATTCTGTCTCTATTAGAAACTGTTAATCTCCGTGACTCGCTGGAAGAACGTGGGCATTAAAGACAAGGCTTTGTCTCAGGGAGAAACCTAGGGCCATTCAAAGAATGCTGAGATGTTCAGAAACAGAACAATTCAGTCTGCTCTTGTCCTCCCCATCCCCTTTTACAATGTCATTGAAAAGTTAATGTTCTGCGGTCACTGCTGGAAAAAGTGATGGGGCTGGAATTAGGAGAGACCTGGATTTGAATCTTGCCTGGGACTTCTAATACCTGAGCAACCAAGGTGAGGCATTGAACCTCTCTCAGGCTAATTTCCTCATAGGCAAAATGGGCACTATCCCTGTAGGAACTATCTCACAGGGGATGGGGAATGGAGGAGAGGACGAAGGGAGGAGGCTCAGAAAGGGAGAAGTAAGAAGAGGAGGGCAGGTCTGAGAAGAAGGCTCCAACGGGTAGAGTACAATGGTCATGAACAGAATGATGAGCCCTATGGGACAGCAGGGGGTACAGTGGTAGAATGGAGGAATTAGTGGCAGGAAGACCGGGGTTCAGATCCAGCACCAGAAACTTACTGCTGTGTGACCTTGGGTGAGTCACTACCTCTCCCAGCCTGTTTCTTCATCTACCTCCCAGGGTTGCTGTGAGGATCGAATGAGATGATATATGTAAAGCACTTTGCTTGGGAGAGTTCCCAACAACTCATAGGACATAAGGTCCAAGAGGGCAGTGAATATTTGGTCTTTGTGTTTGTATCTGAGAGTTGGCTTTTAGAGTCAGGAAGACCTGAGTTCGAATTCTATATCTGACATCCATATTGTCCACATGACTCTGGGCCAATTAGTGAACATGCCAGTGCTCTCAGCAAGTCTCTAGGGTTACAAATTACAAAGGACGGGGTAGACCTACACTGGTAGAAGGTGGGTGAGAAAACAAAGGTGATGTTCAGTCATGTCAAACTCTTCATGACCACATCTCCAGCTCATTTTACAGATGAGGAAACTGAGGCAAACAAGATCAAGTGACTTTCCTAGGGTCACACAGCTAGTAAGTGTTGGACAGATATGAATTCAGGTCTTCCTGACCCCAGGCCCAGCATTTTATCCACTGTTCCACCTAGCTGCCCCAGATAGATCTCTACATGCATATCTATACATACACACACACACATACACATGTACAGATATATGTGTGTGTACATATCTACATATATCTATATATACATATAACATGTGTGTAGACATATATGTATGTACGGCTATACAAAGATATTGATTCATATAGATTCAACTATATCTATCTATATATATGGTAAATTGGAAGGAAGTCACTCTCATTGAGGAGACTAGGAAAGACCTCTTGTAGAAAGCGGGATTTCAGCCGAATCTTGATGGAAGCCAGGGTGGCCAGGAAGCAGAAGGGAGGACAGAGGCTGGTCCGGGCCTTTGGGACAGCCAACAAAAAGATCCAGAGGTCAGGAGATGGAGTGTTTTGTGAGAGGAGTCGCAAAGACAGAGTCTTTGGATCCCCTAATGGCAATTTGTGCGAGGTCACAAGCAGGTTAGTGCAGACGTCAGCCACGCAGCACTAAGTGCTGTAGACCTTGAAGCCTGAGCTATGGCTTCTCCCATCATGTCCCAGTGAGTTGAGGATAGATTTTCTGCTATCCCTTTTTATCCCTATTGACTTTGTAAAATTGACTGTGAGTATGATAAGCCATTACCATATTTTCAATGGAGAGAAAATGATGGCAAATCACAGCACTCTTCAAAGATCTCTGACAGACTCAGTAGCAAACATGCCGTGCTATGATTGGGCCGGCTATTCAGAAAGGGTACCCCGGCTTTACCCAGTGAGAGCAGAAGGGCCCCTTCTCCCCACACCCCCTGAGCTCTGGCTGCATCCTCAGGCAACCTTGGGCCCCAGAGCGAGCAATGAAGTGAGGAGCTGCCTGCCTAGGAGGCCAGGGGGGCATCTTCCCTACCAGCCATGCCATCCTAGCTCTGAGAACTGGTGGCGTCTGCGTGCTTCGGTGAATATTTTATTTTTAAAAGGGGGAGTTTCCACTTTAGCCACCTCACCCCAAGTGGCCGAGCCTTCTGGTTTTTGTTTGTTTTTAATCAGCAGGATGAATCCGACTGTGATCGAGGAGCATGACGGCACTGGCAGAACCAATGATCTCCCTTCTTATTCCCAATTTCTGTGAATCTGGGCCTGCTACTGATGAGGCCGTTGGGCATCCCTTGTTCATTATGACCACCAGCCAATGTGATGGATGATGCCCATCTCCTCTGGGAAGGACAATGGTCACCATCAGAAGGCACGCAGAGGGAAGGCGTGTAATGAAATGCCCGTTTCCATCTAGACATCCTTCCCGCCTGTCTTGACTTACCCAGAAGTCCTAAGATGATGTAGCAAAAGATGGTCACGATGAAAATGATGCCACACACGACATCCGTACAGCTCCTAGGAACAAGCAAAGGGAAGAGGGTGAAGGAAGGCAGGCCATGAAGCAGCAGAAGGCTCATCGCCCGCCTCCCACCTCGAAGCCTTAGGCCTGGGATGCTCTGCCCCCTCACCTTCACCTCCCACAGCCCCCTGCTCCCTCTCTCAAACTCTGCTCAAACAGCCCCTTCAGCAGGGGCATCTTATTGTAGCCTGAGTCTATTTGATCATAAGTTCCCGGAGGGCAGGCACTGCCCTTTGCCCCTTTTTTGTATGCCTAGCTCTTAGCACAGTGCCTGGCACAAAGTAGGCACTCAGCAAATGTTTGTTGAGTGATTGAGTGAGGCTCAGGGTTCTATGGGGTAGTATGAAGAAGGGCAGAACATCCCCAGACAGAACCCAGCCCCTATAGAATAGTGCCTGAAACATCTTAAGAGCTGATAACATGGGGAATCCCCAAAGGCTTAGTGTGGGTCTAAACTTTAATGGCTGAAAACTGCACTAAGACTTTTGGGACACCTTGTATGAGCTTTTGTTTAAATAGCTCTCTACAAACATTATCTTGTTTAAGCCTCATAACAACCCCATGAAGTGGATACTATTATAATCCTCTTTATGTGGACTAGGAAACTGAGGCACAAGGTCACAAAGCTTCTAAGCATCTGAATCTGAATTTGAACTCAGGTCTTCTTGACTCCAGGACCAGTGGCCCATCCATCATGCACCACATTGCTTCGATAAAACAATATTATGAATATATATTCCTACATTAATGGAACGTGGACAATTGTTCCATACAACTCAGAGGACATAAGTTCCATGAGGACAGTGAATATTCAATCTTTGTGTTTGTATCTCAGCTGCCACATGATGAAGTGAATAAAGGGCTAGCTTTCAGAGTCAGAAAGACCTAGGTTCCAGTTCTATATCGGATGTCCATAATGGTCATGTGCCCTTGGGCCAGCTACCAAACATCTTGGTGCTCTGCAAGTCTCAAAGGCTATAAATTGCAGAGAACATGTAGACCTGCCTTGGTAGGAGGAGTCCTGCTGGACAGTTCACGGTGCCAATGTAGTCAAAGGTTTAGACACTAATAATATCCAGTGTTTGGCTCATAGTAGGTGCTTAATCATAAATGTTTGTTGAATTTTGAGTTGAACTCACAATGGAAAATTTCAATTGAGTAATTCATATACACACGCAGGGTGTCTCAAAAATCTTACTGCAGTCTTAAGCTAAGATTTTGGACACCCTGTATTTGTCCCCTCACATTGGCATGGTGTTTTCAAGTTTGCTCATTTATTTCATCTGATGTCCACAATCATCTTATGAAGTAGGTGCTATGATTATCCCTGTTTTACAGATGAGGAAATTGAGGCTCAGAGAGGGTAACTAAATGATTTGCCCAGGGTCAGACAGCTAGCAAGCATGAGAGGCAGGATCTCCCTGATTCCAATTAGAACCCTACCCACTATACCACACTGTCTCTCATAATTCTAAGGAATTGCAGCAACTCAACATGCATTCATGGGCTCATAGGAGCTGAGATTTAGAGCTCCTGGTGACCTGAGAGGGCTTCTAGTTGAATCATCTCATTTTACAGATGAGGAAACTGAGGCCTAGATAAGTGAACTGAGTCGCCCAAGGTCATAAAGTGGGCAACAGTATCACACATGCTCAGAAGAACTTCCCTGGAGTCCTAGCTTATATTGTCATTCATGGTCATTTATGATAAAATTTCACATTTACAGAGTACTTATGAGGGAAGAAAAGGTATTTGACAAAGTATTTTCTCCACAACCACCCTGAGAGGTAGGAAGAACATGTATTATAGCTCCATTTTATAGACCATGAAACTGAGGCTCAAAAAAGGTAAAGGAGTTTACCCAAAGTCATGGAGGTCATAATTGGAGACCCAAATTGAAACTTTGGTCTTTCTACTTCCAAAGGCACGGCTCTTTCTCCTGCAAGAGGCATTCTCTCTATTTATTCCAAACATCACCCCTTCCCAGACTTTCAGTTCCTTGAGAACAGGCACAACTTTCTTTTTTTCTTCCAATCATTTTCATCTCCTGCTACAGTACTTTTTGTATACAGCAGGTATTTAATATATGTTTGTGTAATAAATGAATTTATAGTGAATTAAAATAGAGTAAAGCCAGAAAAACATGGCCATACAGTGGAAAGTGTAACGACTGTAGAAGAAGAGAACCTGGATGAAAATTCCCCATGATGCTTACTTCCCTGGGTGACCTTGGGAGTCAGTCAACCTCCTTGGGCATCAGTCTCCATAGCTATGGAATGAGGGGGGTTGGATGAAATAGATGCTGAGCTCCTTTTAAACTCCACATCTAGGACCTCATGAAGTAACTTCCAACTTATTTGAAATTGTACTTTGAAATACTTCTCTTTCCTTAGTTCCTTCTAATAATCTTTTCTTTCTGGTACTCAGAAGCACGACAAGGACAGAACATCAAGAACTTTGCCTTGGATTGATGACTACCCTGGTGATTTTCCTTTTACAATACAAAAAATGAGCTTATCATCAAGGTAGCAAGAATAATGAATTAAAATAGGAAGTTGGGACACAATACACTTTTATACTAATTACTTGATAGACGCATTGGCAAATTCTATTCGACTATTTTTTTTCCTTCTGTTTTAAAAAATTGTATAAGGCATGGCTCTCCATGTTGAAAGGGGAGGGGGAATATGTTTGAAAATGAAAATGATGGAAAAAAGATATTAATAAAAACTAAAAATTAAAAATCCAAGTATGGGAGGTAGTTGATGGACAGAAAGGTGGCACATTGGGTAGACTTGGAGCTAGTAAGACCTGTGTTTGAATCCTGCCTCAGACACACTCAAGCTGTATGATTCTGGGAAAGTCACTTAAGTACTCTTTACCTCAATTTCCTCATCTGTAAAATGGGGATAAAAATAGCACCTACCTCCCAGAGTTATTATAATGATAAAATGAAACAACACATATGAAGCACTTGCCAACTTTAAAGCATTATATAAATGGCAGCTATGACGATAATCACCATCATGATCGTGATGGTACTATTGGTGATAGTACGTTCCTTCCCTCTTCTGGTTACATCCTGTGTAAATGTTTCTTTAGCTCTCCTTGCCCTCGTCCTAGTCCCTCATACCACACCAGGTGCCAAAATGGCTACTCACAGCTCTGATAATCCTACTAAGTGAAAAGATGTAATAAATTCCTCTGAAAACATCATTGGAATCATCTGAAAACAAAAACCAGTTCTCAACCATAACCCCTCAGGGGATCAGGAATGAGGACCCAGATGATTGCACCTTGAAAACAGAAGTTCATTTTTTGTGCCCTGCAAAGTAGGATCAGCGGGAAATCAAAGCTCCCCGAGGTTCAGAGAAGGGCTGAGGGCCGTGCCCCAAACCAGACTGCGAACGACTATATAACATAGGCGATACCGGCACAGGACCGCCAGGCATGGAGTGCCCATATCAAAGAAGGAGCTGTGCTCTATGGGCAGAGCAGAAGTACAGTAGCTCAAAAGAAACATGAGATGCACAAATTTAGAGACATCTGCACTCCAAATGGTCACATGGACTGTTCGTGCCCAGCCTGTGATGGAGCCTTTCGAGCTCAGATCAGCTCGATCAGCCACAGTCGCACACCCTGCACCTCAACTCCAACATAGTGATGTCATGTTGGCCCTCTTCCAGAGCGAGGACAACAGCCAATCAACCAACCAGCCATGTCTGAGGAGCAGTGTGACTGGATCAGAGAATATGTGGAGGGGAGTGAGGTGTGAGAAGGCTGAAGAGACAGGAAGGCTCACTCAGGTGAAGGGATCTTCAGGGGTGAAAAGGCTGCTAGGTCCCAGTGGATCAAGAAGTGCAGAGAGTCAGGAGAAGAGCCCAGAGAAGAATCAAAGGTATATCCCCTGCACTTAACACAGTGGCTGGTGCACAGTAAGCACTTAAATTTGTCTCTCCCTCCCTTCCCACCCCCACCACTGTCTCTGTCTCTCTCCAACCCTCTTCCATACCTATCTTTCTCCCTCTCCCCCTCCTTCCCTTCCTTTCTCTGTCTCTCTCCCTTCTTCCCTCCCTCTATCCCACCTCTATCTAGCTCCATCCCTCCCTCCTTTCTCTCTCTCTTCTCTTTCTCTCTCTTGCCTTTCTCTTTCTGCTCTTTCTCCTTTCTTCCTTTTCCTTCCTCCGTTACAAAAATCAATTAGTATGCAATAATTAGTCTAACATCAAGCATAAAAAAGCAATAGTAGGAGAGTGACTAGTAGGAAAGCCACAAGCACTGCTTCTATCTGAATTATATTGAACATAAAGATAAAAAATGTGAAAAATCATAGGAAATAATTTCTCCTTGTTATCTTAGCTCAGCACACACCAAGAGGCCAAGCTGGCTTGGGTGTAGGGAGAACAGTAGCTGTTTCCCAGTCACTCACACACACACACACACACACACACACACACTCGCACACACACCTTGTTCAGGATAAGGTTCTCATCCTGCCAATGAAGTTGTTATATAGGCGTAGCATCTAATAAGAAATGAGATACCTTCCGGTAAAGAGACTTAGCCAGAGAAAAGTGCAGTCCTTTAATTATAAATTTCTAAGTTGTCAAACCCCTGCATATAATCAAAGTGACCAGGAAGACAAAGAAAGGGAGGTGATTTGAGGCACAATGCCATCCTGCCAGCCCCTCCCATCAGATACTTATAACATCAGATTGTGTGCAGCAGGATCGATGAGGATGCTGGAGAGAGGCAAGCCAGAGGCACTCACTTGCTTTCAAAGGATGCATCCACTGGAGAGGTGACAGGTGGCAAAATTAAACTCCTCTTCTGTCCTGCAGCTGATGACAAGGCCCCAGTTGAGTTACCAAGAACTCTGGAGGGGGGGGGGTGTGTCTGTCCTGGGATTTGCATTCCTCTCTGTGCCAGACAAATTCTGAATCACAGGGGATAACCATTAGACCACACTTCCCTGTTTTCAGGCTACAAGCTGCCC